AATTGTAAAAAAGGGGGTGTATTTGACTTTTCACCCGGAGATTTCTTTAAAAAGGGGGTGTTTTTCCTATCTCTCTTTTATCTTGAATATCATAGAAAACTTTATCAAATCCCGGGATCAAATTCCTGAAATTCCTGCTTGGTTTGAAAGCTCATTCATGATTATTTCGGAGTTAGGGGGATCTCCAAGGCAGTAAAAACCCGCAAAAAGCCCGCAAAAGGGGGGTTCAGAAATTTTGGCAGTCCTGAGATAGGGGGGTGCTTTCAAAGGGAGGGAACGAGCATATATATGCGTACCCTAAATAACACTGAGTGGGGGGCCCGGGCCTCCTATATATGCTTTGGAATACACCTCTGTTACCAAATTAATCCTCATAAGCCGTGATTTCTGTCTCTGATATGGCCATCTGTGTACCATTCTAGGTATCCACATACCTTATAAACCAAATGTTTGTCCAACGAAGGGGTTTGGATTCGCATGGACTAATATAATGTATGAGTGGGAATTGCATGGCGTAGGACGGTCCCATATATGAGTTACAGTCAGGTATTACAGGTATGACAATCTATTTCAGGCCCTCCCAACTATCAAGAAGTACATGGCGTCAGATAAGTTCATGAAGGCTCCCCTCAACAACAGGATGGCGGAGTTTGGCAACAAGTAGACCTGTGGGAGATTACGAATTTTGAATTTCGACCAAGCTTTGAATTATCACACACAGCGCCTGGATCTGTGACGTCATCGCACCATCGTGAATGGACTTCGGGGAACAAACGCTCGGAACTGTCGTTGGAAAGATTGTTGTAGATGGATGATTATTTTTAATAATTCATATTATGTTTATATTTGCCTAAGCTATAATTGGATTTTGAAACTACAGCCTACGTTTATTTTCATAATTTATAGATACAGGAGCAGAATGCCTATGACTGTGAATGCAATAATATTGGGATGTACAGAAGTTAGTTGTTACATCTATTTATGCTTATGCATTTGTTAGGGAACCGAGTTTTGCAGAGTGGCTTTGAATCACAGATGTTTGGTATACGCAAAGTCGTTGAAGCAAAATCTAGGGTAGCTGAGCTTGAGTTTTTCGTGTTTGTTTGACCACAAAAGTCCACAATTAGAAACAAATTTTGCAAAATTTTTGATGAATTTAAATTTATGCTGCGTCATTCCAACTGTGTTAATTGCAGCAGTAGTGAGCGCATGGTGTATTCACGCAGAATTCCTGTCTGGAAGGCATGTCTCACTAACGCCTAGGCTGTGAGAGATTTTTTGATAATTAATTGTGGTAAGGTTGGCCGCTTTTAATTGCGAGTCTTGTTACAGGCAAACAACGTGTCCAAACGGTTAAATGATATGCAGAGATGTGGTTAAAGTCAGTGTAGGGTAAAGTCCATACATGTGATCATATGAATATTACTAATATTCACACAGTGGAGCGGGTGTAGCAAAATAAAAATAGTAATTTCATNGCGCGTTAGGTAGCTGCCTTTTGTTTGAATTATAGGCGCGCAATGGCGTTGGATTGATGGCCAGAGAATGGAGAATCGTGTCATACGTTTTAGGCTGTATCTCCGGATTACTGTGTCTGATTTGAGCTCAAGTTGGATGAGTTACGTGTAGTAAATCGTAGGTATTATAAGGCTAGTAAATGACGAATTTCCCTTGTTTATTGATGTCACACTCCTCCCTATTATCTACTCCTGATATGCATACATATATCTGTTATCAGGCATTCACTTATATTATTAGACATCAAAGATTTAAAAAAAATTGTAGCAGCACCATCATTGTAAGCAAATGGATATTAGCAGTTTTAAAGCATTAAAAAAAATATTTAGTGAATGTTAAACCACAAGGTATGTAACCTGAAGGTATTGATTTAAACGTACGGTAATGTTTGTCGTTAAACCCTTTGTTGCAGGGCATGGAAGGCTTCAGTGTTGGAACAAAGCTTGACAAGTTTGGCATGCGCGGCTCACCAACCGGCGAACTCATATTCGAAGATTGCAAAGTACCAGGTGACGCGTGGGATGCCAGTTCTAGCATCTTCTAGTGGTTAACGATTATGTAAAGGGTTATCGTTTTATTGTTTTCATTTCTGCTTGGATAATTTAGCGCGTTCAGCACATCAGAGTCGCATGTCGACAGTGTCGTGCCTTGAGACAGGTTATTTCGTTATTATGAGATTTCACTGTGGTAACAACGATGAGGTCACAAGAAACATTTGTTGTCTGAAGTCAAGCTGATTCTGTCAAAATTGATCTATGCCAAGTACAGCTGCTGACTCATCCTACACTCCTTGTACGTTTTCCTCCTTGATCTTGATCTTGATCTTGATTGTGTACTGCGTCGACCGCGTATATGCATATTATGACGCAAGTGGTGGGGCATGGTGAAATTAGGCGCTCCCGGCTGCGACCGCGACAAAGATGGCGTCGATTACGGTCTGTGTGCAGGCATTCCAGTCCACGATGGTCCGTGGAAAGAATGAGTTCTTGAATTCCTCTGTTTGTTGCCGTTTTTGCTCCATCCTGATGTACTGGACTTTGGGGATCGCGGTTCTTCCAGAGAGAATTTTGTTGAGAAGGTTGAGTCACTTCTCTTTACGGCGTAGTTGTGGATTCGGCCAATTAAGTGATTGTAACATTGCAGTTACGCTGTTGGTTCTGCCATAATCGTTGCAGGCGAATCTAGCTGCGCGGCGTTGGATCATTTCAATTTTTTCTATGTCTCTTTTTAAATGTGGGTCCCAGACTGTACAGCCATACTCTAGCTTAGACCGAATGAGAGATTTGTATGTTGTGGCTTTTCAGCGTTTTGGGCGCGTATTTCAGATTCCTTTTGATGAAGCCAAGGGTACTGTTGGCTTTCGCACATAAACTATTGATATATTTGTCCCACTTCAGGGTGTTAGAGAGAATTACGCCGAGATACAGAGTTCACTTATCCTCCTGGAGGAATTTCTCCTGCGTGCACACACGAACTTACGCACGCACACACGAACTTACGCACGCACACACAAACTTACGCACGCACACATGAACTTACGCACGCACACATGAACTTAGGCACGCACACATGAACTTACGCACACACACATGAACTTACTCACGCACACATGAACTTACGCACGCACACATGAACGCAGGCACGCACGCAGACACACACGAACGTATGCACGTGTAATATTTTAATAGCAGAAGAGCGCCATTAGGAAAGCACCACAGAATTTATTCGCATCTGATTGGTTGATATTGCATTAGAGTTATCCGGGTACTTATGACGTAGTGCATATATGACATCTCCCTTTTTTTTTTAAAGACAGTTGAATAGAACAATTGAACTCGAGCAGCAAAACTATTCAGTAATAAACTTGACTGGCAAATTATCGATTAGATATGGAATTGTCAATTATAATCAAGTACCCAATATTTTACCAACATCTAATTGTACCATGTATAACTATGTTTGCAAGACTGAATGATTGAGTAAACTATCCCTTTAACTGTTTGTACAGCCCGCTCACTGAGTCCGTTTGACTGGGGGTAGGTTGGGCTTGAGGTACATAGTTCAATGTCCCATTTCCTAGCAAAGTCTTTGAACTCACGGGAGCTAAACGGTTGATTGTCAGATACAATCGTTTCCGGTATCCCGTGCCTCGCGAGGATGGACTTGAGATGCGTGATCACCTCACTCGCGGTTTTTCTCTCGAGTAGGCTGATTTCAGGGAACTTGGAGTAGTAGTCTACTACAACAAGATAGTCTTTTGCCCCATACTCAAACAAGTCCATACCGAGTTTTTTCCACGGTCTGTCTGGTACATCATGTGGAATTAGCGGTTCCTTCTGCTGTCTCTTCTTGAAACGGTTGCACGTTTTGCATCTTGCTATGAAATCTTTGATTGCTGATGACATTCCAGACCAGTAGATGGTGTTACGCGCCCTGGTTTTGCATTTCTCCATCCCGAGGTGACACTCATGCACAGTGTTGAGCATTTCCTTGCGCATTTCTCGAGGCATTATGAGTCTTTCCCCATAGAATAGCAGTCCTCCTGCCTCGTACACCTCGTCATGTATATTCCAATATGGTCGCGTGGCGGTAAGTCAGTGCTTGGAACTTCTCTGCTGGCCATCCAGCATGAATTGTGGACCTGAGTTCCCAAAGTTCCGGGTCTCTCGCGGTTTTATGCTTGAGTTGCTCACGCTTCTGCTCACTTACGGATAGGTTTTCCACGAAAGTTTGAACTTGAACGTCCATTTCCTCATCGAGTTCACTGTCCTCATCATTATCCCTATGCGGTATGCTCGTGACAGCGTGTCGGTGATGTACATGTATTTGCCGGGTACGTAGGTGATGCTGATCTGATATCGCTGCAGCATTCTTTGCAAACGCGGCGACACTTTTGCGAGGGGTTTCGTGATAATTTCTATGAGCGGCTTGTGATCAGATTGCACTTCACCTGCCTCCCGTAGACGTATTGGTGAAATTTCTCACAGGCAAACACTATTGCCAGTAGCTCTTTTTCGATTTGAGCGTAGTTACACTCTGCTGCCGTCAGTGACCTAGACACATAGGCTGCTGGACCGTCCTGTAGTAGGCATGCACCAAGCCCATTCTGTGATGCATCGGCTTGAATTTTCACAGGTTTTTTCTGATCATAGTAGTTGTTACGTGATAGTAGATTTGAACTATGTCGGCCCACAGGTGGAGCTATGGTCACGGGGCATATAGTATATATATTACCACCAACAGGTGCCATATGCGCTCTCTTACTTTCTCAGTACAGCCACCTGGCACTACCTGGTCAAGCTCTGTGTTCAGCCTTTTCTTTGTGTGTACAGTAACACGTAACAGTAGTGTAGTACGGGTGCGCTGGTCAACTCGCCTTTGATGGCTTGAAGGGCTTTCTTATGTGTCGTGTCCCACACCCATGCATTATCTTTCTTGAGCAGATCTCTGAGCGGTGCCGTGATTTCAGCCATGTTCGGAATAAACTTCGGTTGTTGACCGTTCCCAAGAGTCTTTGGAGAGCTGGCTTGTCGGTCGGAGTCGGCATGTCTGCTATGGCTCGCACTTTCCGCTCATCCGGCTTGAGCCCTTCTGGAGTGATTACATTTCCAATGTACTCGACTGTATCCACCTTGAATTGCATTTTAGTGGGGTTGAATTTCACATTCTGTTCTCTTGCCCTTTCCAGCACTCTCCTCACGATCCTGTCATGCTCCTCTGGGGTTTCAGAGGCGATAATCATGTCGTCGGCAATTATGCATACACCTTTCACGTCACCGAACACTTGTTGGTTCCTCTTCTGGAATACTTCACTGGCTGAACAGATACCGAAAGGCATTCTCAGGAACCGCTATCGGGAATACAGCGTATCGAACGTGCATAGGAGTGAGGATTCATGGTCGAGTTGCACCTGCCAGTAGCAATCTTTCTCGTCCAGGATCGTGAAGAATTTCTTGCCATGTAATTGGGCAGCAACGTCTTCCGGCGTTGGTATTTTGTAATGTTCTCGCCTTATGGCTGTGTTCAAATCACGCGGATCTAGGCAGAGTCGTAGAGAACCGTTCTTTTTCTCCACTATCACGAGACTGTTCACCCAGTCTGTGGGCTCCTCCACGGGGGTTATGACACCTTCTGCCTCCATTCTGTCCAGGGTGTCCTTCAGCTTCCGTTGAAGGCTGAAGGGGACCTTCCTGGGCGGGTGAACTACTGGTTTGACGCTGGGGTCTAGCTCAATCTTATATGTTCCTTCAAATTTCCCGAGCCCTTCAAACACATCCTCATATTATTTAATGACGTCATCTCTTGTGAGGGGTTTCTCCTCCATGACACTTTCTAGCCTCGCAATAAGCTTCAAGTCCTGACACGATTTGAGACCTAGTATTGGTTCAGAGTCAGTTTCCACTACATACAGCTCAACGTCTGTGTCACGTATTTTGGTAGAGATGCATCCCAGTGGTTGAAGTTTTAACCCTCCATACGCAGATAGCACGGTTTGTGTCTTACGGAGACACGGTTTCACGTGTAGTTTCGCGTAGTGTTTCTCGGGCAATACATTTGCTTTAGCACCTGAGTCAATTTTGAATTTTATTGGTTTCTTACTGCATTCCAATTGAAGTTCTGTGCGCCATGCATCGTTAGTGCTCTGTACTTGTCTTACCTCAACATGCACTGATCCGATGAAGAGAGTCTGTACTGGCAAATCTTCTTCCAACGCGTGAATTTTACTGTGCCCATATTGCTTCCGATTGCTACCACCACGACACATATTAGCAAAGTGATTTTTCTTCTTGCAGTTAACTGTTATGACAGTCCTGTCCGTACGCGGGACATTCGTTTTTGCCGTGTGTCTTGCCACAGTTCCTGCAGTTGAATTTTGATGCAGTTTGTGGCTTAGGTTTGTGGTGAAACTTTCCTGTCTGGGACTTAGCCTGGGGCTGACGGTATTTCTGTCCCTTGCTCGATACGGCATTAATGCTCGCAGTAGAAACGTTTTCCATTTCTCTGAGCTGTCTGGCGCTCACCTCGGCGGCCCTGCATAACTCAACGATCCTGTCGAGTTTAGGATTGTCAGAGTCTCCCCATAGCCTTTCCTTGAGCCTGGAGTCTGTTTGTCTCTTTGTGTGTCGAATCATGTTGTCTCTTTGTGTGTCGAAATCACAGTTTTTTGCATGATTTTTTAAGGCAGTTACGAATTGGTCTATCGTTTCCCCTTCCCTTTGGGAGCGTTCCCAAAACGTGTACCTTTCTATGACTGTGTTTTTTCTTGGCTCACAGTACTCACTGAATTTGTGTAGAACTACATCAAGACTGTCCTTGTCCTCTTGATCCTCATATGTGAAGGTATTGTAAATTTCTATTCCTTCGTCTCCGATCGTGTGGAGTAGTATAGCAATCTTTGTAGAACCATCTATTCTTACCGCACCTGACGCCGTGAGGTAAAGCTCGAAGCGCTGCCTCCACCTTTTCCAATTCTCTCCGAGATTCCCATCGAAATTGAGCTTGGATGGGGGTTTAAACTGTTCCATTTAAGACGTGAATTTCGTAATTATTCTGACACCATGTAATATTTAATAGCTGAAGAGCGCCATTAGGAAAGCACAACAGAATTTATTCGCATATAATTGGTTGATATTGCATTAGAGTTATCCGGGTACTTATGATGTAGTGCATATATGACACATGCACACGCGAACTTACGCACGCACACATAAACGCAGGCATGCACGCACACACGAACTTACGCACGCACACATGAACTTACGCAAACATGAACGCAGGCACGCACACACGAACTTACGCACGCACACATGGACTAGCGCACGTACACATGAACTCGCGCACTTACGGCTGACCTATTTTGCATTCTTTATTGCATTTATTTTACATTTTTGCATTCTTTAATTTTGAACTTCAGACTGCGGACTCCTTCATTTTGCTGCGGACTCCCTCTTTTAGAGGGTAGGCCGGAGTCCATTGGACTCCCTTGTTTAAAAGTTAATTTCTACCCCTGATAATACGTATGTACGTAATGTTTAGCAAAGGTACCTGAAGTATAAAGGTACAAAGGTATATGAAACGTAACTTTCTACACAACACTATCGATACATGTTGTTCAAGGGTAGTAATTTCTTTAGGATTTCTGGCGCAAACTTGGAGACCTGGGACTTCTCGGCATTACTGCAGAGAGTAAGTGTGTACTTGCAGATAATTCCTTATATGCTAGAAGTCGGTGGCCATATTGAAAAGGGTCTGTCACCCTGCTTACAAAACTAGGCAATTACTGGGATGTACTTTAGGAATAAATTTTAGGGTAAGGGAGAGTAGAGGCTATTGTCAGGGTTCAGGTTAGAGATGTCTTCCCACACTACTTAGTCAGACGTGTTATTTTTTGTAAAATCTGTTTTTCACTTTCTCACATGATGTCACTGATGTGACCTTCGCATGCTCTAGGTCAGTACGGAGGCTCGGAGGGCACCTACCTTGACCACTGCATCGTCATGGAGGAGATATCTAGGGCGGCAGGCGGTGTTGCACTCAGCTATGGAGCACACTCCAACCTGTGCATCAACCAAATGTCGCGGCATGGCACCCCGGAGCAAAAGGAGAAGTACCTGCCTAAGGTTGTTTACCGGGCAAAGCCCAGACTCTGCGTTCAGATTCCCGCTCTGAATTCGATTCAGAATCTGTATTCAGATTGATTTCCTGCTTCAAAGTCATACTAGAGGCTCATGGATTTTGTATATTTTTGTGTGATTTTCCTTTTTTTTATATATATTTGCCCTGTAATTGGAGTTATGGATGTCGCCTAGTCATTTGAAATGCCTAATTTATATACGAAACGTTTGTAGTTGATTAAGCGACGATCTTATACCCGAAAAGCTCAGTCCACATCAATGTTTAGTCATAGATGTTAGGATGATACAGTAGACGTAGCTTCGGGTGCGTGTGTGGGTGCATGCGTGTCCGTGCGTGCGTGCGTGGGCGCATGTGCGTGCGTGCGTGCGTGCATAGGTGCATGCGTGTACGTGTGTGCGTGGGTGCATGCGTGTACGTGCGTGTGTGGGTGCGTGCATGCGTGTACGTGTGTGCGTGGGTGCATGCGTGTACGTGCGTGTGTGGGTGCGTGCATGCGTGCATGCGTGTACGTGCGTGTGTGGGTGCGTGCGTGCGTGACAAGTGTGCGTGAGTGCGCGTGCATGCGTGTGTGTGCGTGCGCGTGCGTGCGTGTGTGCGTGACAAGTGTGCGTGCGCGTGACAAGTGTGCGTGCGTGCGCGTGACAAGTGTGCATGCGTGCGTGCGCGTGACAAGTGTGCGTGCGTGCGCGTGACAAGTGTGCATGCGTGCGTGCGCGTGACAAGTGTGCGTGCGTGCGCGTGACAAGTGTGCATGCGTGCGTGCGCGTGACAAGTGTGCGTGCGTGCGCGTGACAATTGTGCGTGTTTCACAGCTGATCAGCGGAGAACACGTCGGCGCGCTGGCGATGAGTGAACACAACGCTGGCTCCGACGTCGTCAGCATGAAGACGACGGCCGTGAAGAAAGGTGAGCCTTCCAAACTATGAACGGCTTAACGTTTGATCGTTTCTCTGTGCGCCATCTGAGATCGCTTGGAAAATGCGTGTATGATTCATGGTTCAGACTAGACATTAGTCAATACTGCGACCCTCTCTCGAAGTGTGGCCAGTGTGTTGCTTCCGGTCGCTGCTGTGTAGCGCCATAGTGGCGCTGACTCACGTCATACTACCAAAGTTTTACTAAATTACTATGCATCCAGCGTGAGGTGGGCGTGAGGTGGGCACAGGTGGGTGTCATCACTATGGCAATCAATAACAGACGTCATTCATTCCATTTGTCAATCATTGACGGAAACACGCGAGGTTTACCGAAGTTATAACACTTCGAGAGACAGTCACAGTAACTGACTGATCTCGAGTCAGTTTTCGGCGAAAATACCAGATTTTCACTGCTCATTATCTCAGCGTATGGGCATCGTAGGGACATGCGGTTTCTTTTATATGAACAAGGTAGGACAGCTGATCAATAATACTGCAAAGAATCGTCAAAATAACACGGGGAAAGTTTATTAATTCGACTAATACTGCAACATGGTTTCAGCATTTTACCGTTGTACGCTCTCCTTCTTTATATTCCTTCCTTGTGAATTCCGAAACGTGTGACACTGTCTGGTCCCAAGGGTTTCAGATAATAGATTGTGTACTGTACATAATTTACAAGTTGATTTGAAACAAAGACTCGAGGGCAGCACGTACTTGATTCTGGTTCAGTGATTAGTGTCATTACTTTTCCTAACTCGGGGTAAACACAAGTTATCTTGTGTCTGTCTACAGGCGATTATTACATTTTGAATGGGAGTAAGTTCTGGATCACTAACGGTCCCATTGCTGACACTCTGATCGTATATGCACGCACGAACCCAAGCGCCGATAAACCACAGCATGGAATCAGCACCTTCATCATAGAAAAGGTACGAAGGTGATTAAGCCTTGCTTAGGTGGGTGTGGTTATCAACTTATCGTAGTGTAGATGTAGTCGCTATTAGTATATGCATCAGGAGTAGATAATAGGGAGGAGTGTGACATCAATAAACAAGGGAAATTCGTCATTTACTAGCCTTATAATACCTACGATTTACTACACGTAACTCATC